ATTATGAATATTTTATGTATTTTATTTAGTCTTTTATATCTTGTCTCTTCTAACAACTTTCAAAATAACATAGAAAAAGGTAATGAAAATGCATTCATTTTAAAATTTTACGTTTAATATATATTTTTTAAACATGTGTCGTAAAAAAATAATTGTTGAATATTTTTTGCAGAGAAATTTACTTGCTTTAATTTCACATACTACTCTTTTTGTACAATCAACCGAAACTAATTTTGAGCAGTATGTGAATCACTAAAAACTCTAATAAGTAAATCTGTAAGCAAAATTTTAGGTGTACCTCAATTCTTTATGTGAGTTTTGTCAGATTGAAATCCCCTAAAGAATGTATTATTTTCTTACAAATGTTTTTAGATATAATCTTAAAGAATCTTTGTAATTTTATTTTTTCATAATTCAGGATTTCTCATTGTTGTGAGCCGCCATCCATACAAAATAAAGAGACATGCGTCGAGAACTTCGTATATTAACAGTTTCCACTCCAGCAATCAGTCAGTCACAGACGCTGATGAGAAGGATGTACAGGGGAACAGAGATTATAATATCATATGTTCGCAAGCGAAAACAGTGTCAAAAGTGAGATATTCTTTACTGATTACCTTATCAGAATCATTTGAAATTGTGTACAATGTAAATATGACAAACGACCCTGGTGTTCTTGTCGCCGAGAAAAAAAGACGTTTTTACCTAGTGTCCAATTTAAATCAAGAAAATCGCTGTTAAAACTTTTTAGTTAGTAATATCAAAATATCATTCTATTTAATTCTTCACTTACCTCAATTAAATTTGAATAGCGTACCTTGAAATGTTTCATTAAAATTTTTAAATAATTATCAGCGTCATTCGATACAGTCAATAATAATTCATGTCATATATTTTAATAATTTTTTTGTTATTGATATTGACATTTCTATACCTAAATTAGACCTTTCAAATGTCAAACTCTTAAATTAATCCTAACCCCATTTTATGCGGCCAAATGTGTAAAATATTTCAGTTTACATCAGCTTTATGTAAGTACTTGAAAAATATATTTTATTCGCTTGATATAGAAGACATGATTTATAATATTTCATCAAAAATATATTTTTTTGTAAAGTCAAATACAAAGCAGGCCAATTTTGCTCATCGCCGAATTTTTCATTGTCTTTGGCCTTAAGAACAAGTGTACCAAATTTGAAAGTTTTATCTCAAAAACTATGGCTGCTATCGCGACACTATAGACATGCGGAGAGTATTTTCCTCATAAAGTTAGATTTTTTCATTATAATTCGTCGAGATTCGTCCAGAAATGCAATAAAAATTTTAAATTTTTTTCCCGAAATTGTACCTTTTTTATTCTTTCATTCATTATGTCTCTTCTGGTGGTACCACATTCACCAAATTTAATGTTGCACGTAAAATGTTGAGTAGTGGTGAGGGGTATGTAAAACTTCTCATATGGTCCAAATGCTACTATCCGACCGACATCATGTCTCTGTGGCGGATAGCGACTTGCGAAGCAAGTACCGAGCGCGGCGACCTCTTGCCCAGGTGGACTAAAGTACTATTATTAAATATTTGAACGAAACAACTACTCAGCGGGCAAATACCCCGACCTGCATTGGATTATACCTTCAAATCGTGATAGATCGGTGGCCAATATCATTTGTCAATTCCTAACCAGACATAGACCGGTTTCGAACTTATTAGTTTTCCTCAGTATGCGATAGGTTATGGAACAGACAAATGATAGTGGCCAACCTGCTAGTCATATACTGACTAAAGTACATTGAGTAGTGGTGAGAGGTATATGAAATTTCTCATATGGTCCAAATGCTACTATCCGACTGACAGGTGAAAAATAATGAAAATAATTTTGAGTTAATTTACAAATTTGATAAATAAAATCATGACCTTTTGGTTAACTCGACATAAAATAAGCTATGTTATGTAAAGAAATCTGTCTGGGTAAACTTTCTTTGCTTTTTATTATTTTTTTTATCTATTTCTAATAGGTGACACTTGAAAAATATAAAAATACATTTAGATTATTTATATAGTATTGGGATAAAAATAATTTCAAAAACTTTGCAACCTCTCTCGCGCTGTCATGTAAAACAAAAGCATTTGTATTGCCACTTTTACATTTTCCAATCCTATTTTTAAAAATAAATTATAAAATTGCAATAAATTCTGGAATTTTTTAGTGTTTCATTTAATTGCAACATAAATTTTATTAATATCTACACGGAGCTAATAAAGATTTTTATTTGATGTTGAATTAACTGGTTTTATTACATGCAATATACGTGCCGCAGTTTTCAGTTGCTTACATATTTTTAATGCTCCTTTTAAAACGTGGCACGTAAAAGACAATACAGAGGTCTGCTGCCGGATTTTCTCAAACTAATAAAACTATTTTGTAACATTTTATCTAAGGTAAATGTACCGATTTAAAAATAAAAAGGATTGCAATATGGAAACCAGAAATAATAATAACGTGTAATGAAGAGCGAATATAAAGCCGACAAATCCAAAAATTAACTTTCTGGTAGTGATGCGCGATACAGTACGATATTTTCAGATACGCACGGGACGATATGTGACTGTTTTCATGATTGTGCTCAGGTCCGAGCCAAGAGTATCTGACGCACGGGTGCGGAATATAATTTGCCATTCTATAGCACCTTAGACATAGTATTAATTGTAAAATTTTACATTTCCTTGATAATTGTTGACTTGTTTAAAAAATAAAAAATTACTAAGGTTACTTTAAGTTTTATTTTTGTATAAACTTAAAAAAATAAAATATTTAAAACAAACATAATGCTTTAGAGTACACCTTATATTATTTATTATTATTAACTTAGAACTTAGAAGTTATAAACAGGAACTAAACTACATAAATTCTAGATTTAAATATCAAATGCGACTTTTTTGCTTTCTTAATTGCAAATTCTCTAATTAAATCCATTATATCTAACGCTTCGCACATCTCTTCCTCGATGCTTATTACAACCAAATTTGTAAGTCTGTTCTAGCTCATAGTAGATCTTAAATAATTTTTAATTATTTTTAATTTTGAGAACGATCTCTTATCATAAGCAACAGTGGCAGAATCGTTAAAAAAATTCGTAGGGCTACAGATAAAATCGGGAAAGTTAATAATTAAATCATTAACCACAAGGTATTCTAAAACCTTCTTTGTCGAAGTCGTATTGGGTTTATTATAAATGGATAATATTTCAATTTCATTGCACAAATCGATTGCCTTTATATCCATTTGTTTTGTAGATGAATCGAATAATTTAATTTGTAAATCCATACAGCAATTCATTAATTATTCTTTATCTATAGATAAAGAGCCTAAATTATTTAAAATGCTAAAATAGCAGTTGCACTCGTTTAACTGTTCAAATCTGTCATTTATTTTTATTACTACTATATCAAAAATACAAAAATGATGTCGCACCATAGCGACAAGGCGGTAACTCGTGTGTCGGTATAATCACCGTGTCATGTCGCCATAAAAAAATGCAACACTTTTCCTATATCAAGTTAACTTTATAAGAAGAAAAGCCAGACACAAGACTAACTTGATAAAATAAGTTGCATTTTTAATGCCGCAAGCATAACTTTTTCTTTCATTTTTCGTTTTGCCGCCCCTAATAGGTTGCCGCCCGGGTGCTGTGCACCACTTGCAACCCCTGGACGGCTAGGCCCTGATTGTGCTTTAAATGTGTAGATAATATATATATTTTTTTATTTTGATTGTTTTTATTCATTTTCGTTTTACTTTCCCGAATAAAGTATTGCATGTCCATTTTAATGTTCAACCAAATCACACAGTCTATGGAAATCATTCAAAATCAAACATGTCCAAGACAAATATTGTCCTAGCGTTTTACTATTACAAGTGTGTAGCAAAGTTGGTTTTTAAATATTATGCTAAAAATATGGCTAGAATTTCTTTTTAAAAAGATTAAACATATCAGTATAAATAGTTATTCCTTTATGTGACTTTCTTTGGAGTATTAAGGCACTGTCTTACAAATTATTCAAAATATTTGTTGAATTAATCTCGTTTCAAAAAGATTATTCAGAGGTTGGAATACTGTATTCAGACATATCAACGTTTCTCACGTAAAATATTTTACATTTAATGATGTAAATTTTAGGTTAATATTCTTTTCGGCGCGAGACATTTTTTGTTAGGCAAAAATATTTTTCCAGAAAATCAACCTCCGGCTAATCCTTTTGGCGCGGTAATATTGTATAAAATAAAATGGTGATTTATAAGATCCGCATTAGATAAATGCTCTGGTATTATTGGTATAAATATTTAAATCTGATGTCTATCTATAGCGAATTATAACTATTTTGTCTGAAATTGCATATAATCTTTTACTATTATATTAACATAATTTCTATTTTTTTTGTTTTTTTTTTTTAATTTATTATGTTTTCCAAGAGCTTTATCTCGCAAGTTCATAGCAAATTAGATGAGGAGAGTAGTCGGTTCAGGACAATAAAATAACTTTATTCTTTCACCAACGTTTCATTTACTTTACGTAAACTTCTTCAGGGCTCAGAATAATAATTGTAAAGTGGGACTTCTAACTGTCATCTCTATAATCTGAATAATAATAATTGTAAAGTGGGACTTCTAACTGTCATCTCTATAATCTAAATTTTTATTCAGATTATAGAGATGACAGTTAGAAGTCCCACCTTACAATTATTATTCTGAGCCCTGAAGAAGTTTACGTAAAGTAAATGAGACGTTGGTGAAGGAATAAAGTTATTTTATTGTCCTGAACCGACTACTCTCCTCATCTAATTAACTAATCAAAGACACAATTACTATTATAGATTACTTCATAGCGAATTTTAAATTACCTGTTATCCAGAAAGCTCTAAGTTTCGTTATTCTTACAGTTATTTAGGTGCATGAATTTGAAATAGTGACGTAATAGATGATTTAAAACCCAAGATGCAGGAGAATGGTAGCCGAGTGGGTAAAGCACTCGGTACCGAATATCGATGGTTCGAATCCATCCCATTAGAAGTAATTCGGATTAAGATGGGAGAGGGAACTGTCGAAGCCCTAAATCTGGTTCGGACTCCACAATAAACTGTAGGGCACCGTCTCCCTTTACTCAACACAAAATCCTAGGATTTTCTGAGAGTTACTTCGGTGACTTGAGAGGCGGTTATGAAAACATTTTAAGAACACATTTTTTTTTTAATGCTGATGTTATTTTTTACATTATTATAGTATTTTTGTAAATTCTGTAGAGTAAAGAATTGCGGATACAATGGCGTGCATGCAAATAATAATACAAGAATATAGAAGAAATAATTTGATTAGGAATGCCTATGAACTCATATTGATGATTATTAATGGTTTTCTTGTAAATCGATACATTTCATTTTAGGTATGAAAAACAATCATTAGCCCCTTCAGCTCCATGTTGCCACAGGTGGCAACAAATTCATATGGCGTTTTTATACCAAGTTACCATATGTGGCAACAAATATTAAACTTCTCATATAATCCTGGAATAGTTTTGTAGGTGTTGTTTTAAGCATGGGTTATCAAAAAAAAAAAATAGCGGGAATAAATTCTATTGGTTTCTTGAAGGTCAAACTCGCAACAACAGAGCGTGTGCTTGTGCCGCATGTAGATTCTTGTCAGTAAGTATATTGCTTTAGAGGAGTGCTGTAGTGTTGATTCTTAAAATGAATGATTGAAGTGATATTGACGAGACCTTTGAAGACTCTGGCTCAGAATATTTGCCGGAGTACTCCGATGATGGTAGTAGATCCGTTTTCTGTAAGTTTTCTAATCTTTTTTATTTTGGTTGTCGTGTGTTTATTTTTCTAATTATTTTAGGATAAGCGGGCCTCAGAGTTAGTGCCTTTTTCGAGCATTTTTGAAGGATTACATCCAGTTATTGAGTTAGAAGATGTAAAAGAACCTGTAAGTTGCTTCTTAGTGTTTATGTCTGAAAAAATTGTACAGTCTCTTTGTAACTGGACAAATGAACGAGCAAGAAGGTACTTAGTTGAAAATGGCACTCGTAAAGTGTACAACTTAGTATGGAGACATTACAGTTTCGGAGATGTACACATTCTTAGCTTTACAATTATATATGGGTATTGTTCATTACCCTAAAGTTCCCGACTACTGGAGCCGTGACTTTTTTTGTTCAAAGGGCCAACTATTTTTTTTGGAGAAATAATGAGCAGAAATATATTTTTCATAATTTTAAAATTTCTCAGATTTAGTGATCCAAGAGCCTTTATTGTAGGAAGATCTATTACCCGGTTGGCAATGTTTTTTGCATGTGTTAAAGAAAATTGCATGAATCTTATAGATCTTGGAGAAATAGTGGCAATAGATAAATGTTTAGTTTTATATAAAGGTAGACTGCATTTTAAACAATTTATAAAAACCAAACATTCACGTTTTGGAATTAAACTATTTTGTGTGTGTCCCAGTCATCCAGATTTACGGGGATATTCTTACAATTTTGCCATGTACTTCGGAAAAGACGCGTACAATATTACTCACATTCCTGGGTCAAACGATCTAACTATGTCTGAAAGAATTGTGGTGTTTTTGTTTGAACGATTATTGGATGAAGGAAGAGAAGTAATAATTGATAACTGGTACATGTCTTTGAGTCTAGTACAATTTCTACTCACTAGAAATACTTATGTGACTGACTGAAACCATTCGAGCAAATAGAGGTGTACCTAAAGAGCTAACAGAAATACCTCTAAAAACATTCCAAACATGTTTTGTAAGGAAAAGTGATATTTTAGTTATTAGATATAAAGATAAAAGAGATATTTATCTATTGACTACTAAAGCCAAAGGTGGATTTACGCAAAAAACTCGTTACCAAGTCTCAGCATTCAATAACATACAGGTACAAAAGCCGAATGCCATTGAGCATTACAATGTGAATATTGGCGGAGTGGATGCTGTTGACCAAAACATTGAGCCGTATGATTGTACCAGAAAAAGCTACACTTGGTCTAAAAAAATTGGTTTGCACATAGTCCAACGCATGGTACTAAATGCAAAAGTATTGTACACGAATGCTGGAGGAGAAGACAAGGGTGTCTTAGAATTTACCAAAATATTAATTGATGCTCTATTGGAAAAATATGCACCTGGATACAAAAAAATTAAACAAAATTATACAAAAACTAACAAACCTCGTAACAAACTCAAGCCAGAGAACACTAAGCATGCTTTTGGGTGCAGTGTCAAGGAAGAAGGCTGTCGTCGAAAAAGAGGGACATGTAGAGTATTGTTACGCCACTGGACTGAGCAGACTGGTTAGATTAGGCTGGAATTGTACACGAACGGCCGGGAATATTCTGGAGTGCTCTAGACTGGGTCAATGGATGTATAAATAAGACGCACGGTGGGCCGAGATTTAATCTTAAGTTGAACGTAAGCGAGTAAAGAAGTAATAAGAAAGAGACTTAAAAGTGTTCAAGTGTAATTATAGTTAAGACAGTAATTAGTCTATTGTTATTAATTGTTAATTAATAAATAAAGTAGTTAATAAGTGTTACCTGGACTTTCAATCAACGAATCTACGAGTAGAGGTGTTTGTGTGGATAGCAAACACGTAACAATTTGGTGTCAGAAGTGGGATACCGCTTTGGCCTCGTTGAGAAGGATGACTCAATTAAAATGACAGACAATGTAATTCTGGCAAGGACATTAACACAGACTACAGACAAGATACCGATTAGAATGGTTAACCTAAATTCACACTCAGTGACGTTCAAGGAAGGCGAAGCAATTGGCACCTACGAACCAGTCACATGGATTGCGAGATGTGAAGAACAAATCAATGGAGCTTTGTCTACAGATATGGACCAAGAAGTTGTAAAGATGTTAAATGCCCAGTTAGACCATTTAACTCCTGATGAACATAGAGAAGCTTTAAAATTTTTGAAGAAAGAAAGTACAGTATTTGCAAAGGACACAGAAGCTCTTACAAAGACCAACATAGTGCAACATCGGATAAATACTGGTGAATCAGCTCCTATTCGTCAACCACCTAGGAGGCTCCCATTAGCAAAACAAGAAGAGGCTTCTGCAATGGTACAGAAGATGCTTAAAGACGGAGTTATTGAGGAATCAACCAGTCCTTGGTCGTCTCCAGTAGTTTTGGTTGCTAAGAAAGATGGAACTTTAAGATTCTGTGTCGACTACAGGAAGCTGAATGACGTCACTAGAAAAGACAGCTATCCGTTACCCCGAATTGATGACACACTAAGTACGCTGGCAGGTTCACAGTGGTTTTCCACTCTAGATCTTCGAAGTGGATACTGGCAAGTGGGACTTCATCCAGATGACAAAGACAAGACAGCCTTTTCGACAGGAAGTGGCCTTTATCAATTCACTGTGATGCCTTTCGGCCTGTGCAATGCACCAGCAACTTTTGAAAGACTGATGGAACTGGTACTACGAGGACTAACTTGGAAGACATGTCTAGTTTATCTTGATGATGTGATGGTTATGGGACGGGATTTTAAGGAGCATTTGAAGAACCTTCAAGAAGTGTTTGGAAGAATTAAAAATGCACACCTGAAATTAAATCCCAAAAAGTGCCTAATGTTCCAGAAAGAGGTAAAATTCCTAGGACATGTCGTGTCTTCGGAGGGGATAAGAACAGACCCAGACAAGATTTCCTCAGTACGAGATTGGCCGAGGCCTTCAAATGTTCACGAAGTACGAAGCTTCCTTGGTCTATGCACTTATTACAGACGATTTGTAGAACGATTTGCTGATATTGCAAAGCCACTACACCGGCTTACAGAAGAGAAGGTTCAGTACCAATGGACACAAGAGTGCGAAACGTCATTCAGAACACTAAAATCAGCACTGTGTTCAAGTCCAGTTCTTTCATACCCAGAACGGAAAGGCCTCTACGTATTAGACACAGATGCCAGTAATTCTGGACTTGGATGTGTTCTTTCCCAAATTCAAAATGGACAGGAAAAAGTAATTGAGTACTTCAGCAAGACGTTGTCGAAGCCAGAACGTAACTATTGTGTGACACGGAAGGAACTATTGGCCATTGTCAAGTCCATTGACCATTTTCACAAGTACCTATATGGACAACATTTTAAAGTCCGGACCGACCATGCTGCATTAAAGTGGTTATTACAATTGAAAACTCCGGAAGGCCACTAGCTCGCTGGATAGAAAAACTACAGCAGTATGATTTTAAAATCGAACATCGTCCTGGAAAATCCCATAAAAATGCAGACGCTCTCTCCAGAAGACCCTGCCGGGAAGACTGCAAGCACTGCCACCGGGTAGAAAAACAACAAGGGATAATAATTGTGAACACCGTTAAAATTGATGTTCCTGACGACTGGACAATAGAGACATTAAGAGAAGAGCAGTTAAAAGATCAAGAAACTGGTCCTATTCTGGAATGGAAAGAAAGAGGAGCCCGACCAGGCTGGAAGGACATTTCGGACAAGTCAGTGGGACTGAAGGCTTTGTGGGCACAATGGGATTCCCTTAGAGTAGAGGATGGACTGTTGAAAAGAGCTTGGGAAAGTCCAGACGGGAAGGAAATTACTTTGAGATTGGTAATTCCCAGGTGTCGCATACCAAAAGTACTCCAGGAAGTGCATAATGGAACATCTGGCGGACATTTTGGCATCAACAAAACTCTCACTAAAGTACGCGAACGATTCTACTGGGTGAGCAGCCGCCAAGATGTGGAAGCTTGGTGCCGTAAATGTGAAGTTTGTGCGGCAAGTAAGGGGCCACGGACAAGAAGTAAGGGCCAAATGAAACAATATAACGTAGGGGCTCCTTTTGAGCGAATTGCGATCGACGTAGCTGGTCCATTCCCCGTGACAGATGATGGGAACAAATACATCTTAGTTGCCAAGGATTATTTCAGTAAGTGGCCTGAAGCTTATGCCATACCCAACCAAGAAGCAGCCACTGTCGCTCAAGCTCTGGTAGATAATCTAGTATGTCGATTTGGCGTGCCCCTAGAATTGCATTCGGA